TATATATATATATATATATATATATATATATATATATATATATTAAAAGAAGAACCAAGAGGTACTGAGGTGACATCATGAGAATTGAGTATTAAGGTGTTGGTGAATTGTAGTTGAGTTTGAGATATTCCACATCGGTGAGAGATTGAAATAAGGAGGTGTGTACAAAAAAGAAGAATGAGATTCATTGTGTCAACTCAAGAAGCTTGACTCATAATGTTATCTTATTTGGATGACACTATTTTTACAAAACAAATCTTATTATATAAAAAATAAAAAAGAATTGTGTTTCCAATCATAAATATTATGTATATATTTATATCTTTATACATATATAAGCAAAACTTTAGGGTATTGATGTGACACCATGAGAACTAAGTATTTCTAAATAGTGAATTGTGATTGAGTTTTTGTTATCTCATATTGGTTAGAAGTTGAAAGATTTAGACAAAGTGGTGTATATAAGAAGGGTGGATTGAAAGTATTCTCAAACGGTAAATTGTGGTTTAGTTCTAGTTGTCCAACATTGGTGAGAAGTTGAAAGATTTGAAGAAAATGGTGTATATAAGAAATGTGGATCGAATACCTTTGTATTAATTAATGAGATTTGATGCATAAGACTGTCTTATTTTGGATGATCCTTTTTGAAATCAATAATCATGGTTGATATTAAAACCAACCAAAGGGTAAAAATTATAGTGCAAAATTAAAGTGAAACCAATGATGATGACGTGACAATATGAGGTTTGAGTGTTTCTCAAATCTTGAAATAAAGTTGACTTTCATCATCTCATATTGGTGGAAAAAATGATAATTTGGAAGAAGATGATGGACATATAAAAGAGTGATAAATGCTTTGGAATCTATGACCATATGTGGAATCTATGACCATATGTGGAATCAAAACCAACCAAATGGTAAAATTATAGTGTAAACACAGTTAAAATATCATGCAAAACACAAAGTTAAAAACAAATTAAAGTATAAAAGCAAACAAACACGAGATTGATGTTGCACCCAAATAGTTGGGTAATCTTCGTTTCTTGAATTGTGGTTGAGTTTTTTTTAATCTCATATTGATGGAAATATGAAAGATTGATAATGAATGATATGTATATGAAAAGTGGTTGAGATGCCTTTGTGGCAACTAATGAGGTTGGCTCCCTTAAATCGATCATCTAAACTCATGTTGTTGACTCGTTTTGATTGACCCTCCAAACTAATGGAGTCCGTTCAATTTGACCAACCCTTTTAAAATGTTCATCTATATAAAAATAAACATATATACCATCAATAAACCAATATATCTCAATGTCAAATATCATCAAAATAATAGAAGCAGAATTATGGGTGATTATATAATATTATGATATTTGAATATTCATAATTATTCTATTGATACTGAATTTGATAATCCACATTGATGAGAATACGATAAAGCAAAATGGCATGAAATTTGGTTCTAAAAAAGTTAAAAAATACAACTTCAATTTTATAAAAAATACAAAAAAAAACCCCGGATCGCTCCCCCGTACAGTACGGATTGCCCCGGGGGCAAGGTGTCAAACACGATCAACGAGGTGAACAGTAATCTCGACTTTTGAGGAATTTTTTTTAAGACTTTTAAGGGGGATCACCCCCATTGTGTACGGGGGCGATCCGGGTGGTTATTTTGGCAAAACATCTAAAATGTGGTTATTTTGTGGCAAAGGGTTGTGTAAACCGGTTATTTTTATAAATACCCCTTGTTTTTTTATCCCACACTCTAAACGAAATACATTTGCATTTTATTATAAGTAAATCAACGAATCACTTTCATCTTAATTTTGTTATATAATTTGTAAATAAACCAAATTCGTCATTATGCAACGTACGCAGAAAAAAACTAATTTATATTAAGAAACGTTCGAAATATTTATAAAATCAGATGTTGATTATAGTGCGTGATCATCATATCTATACTTTATTATAAAACATTTGACAAAAATTCTTAAAACCACTTTTTATGCATAAAATACTGTTTATTAATGCATGTTACTTAAAACTCAAGATTACAAGTAGATTGTACGTAAGTACCACTTATTAAAGCTCCATATCTGAATTCGTGTAGCTAACTGTAGATAAACATAATTAAATACAGGATAAACATCTCATTTGAAATATAAAAAATCTAAAATATAATTAGAATAATTATTGAGTTCTAACAGAATGTTTAATTATTATCTCTATAAAATGTTATATTATTGAAACAAAAATAAATTATTTCATTGTTAAACTTAAATTAAATTATAATAAAAAACCTAATGAAATTACATAAAAAATAAGAACTTTTAGATAGTTGATTTGATATCAACATTGATATATTTTTTTTCAAATTTTTTGATATCTTCAAATTTATATTTTATTCAAAAATAAAATCATTATCGTTTTTTTAAAACACATAAAATCGTATTAAAATATCGACAGAATTAAACAATAAAATAAAACATTAAAATTAAGATATATCTCAGTATATTGTGCGAGTATCCTTTTGGTTTTTATAAAATATATATAAACATAATCAAGGATTTACTGGAAAATCCGGTTATGGCCGTTGAGCTGAAACTAATTATGGCCGGCTGGCTGGATTCTTCATCAAAAAACGATCAAAATTTCCAAACCGCCAAAAATTTCGTTGTGAATATGCTTACCAAATCTTCGAAGAGAAAAAGGATTTCCGGATTTTTTGTTTGAAAATCTTAGCAAATCACGAAATAACGTCTCATTCATGTTTCAGCAGCTCAGCTTCAGCATTCAACTGTTCGAGATCAATTGCGTGTTTATGCTTTTGAATCAATTCAGTTATTAGGGTACAAAAGTTCTTATTACATTCAGAATTTGAAGAGTTCTGAGTTTTGTCTCGATATTGCATTCAGAAATTCCAAAATTTATTGGGGATTTTGTGAAGTTTTATTTTGGGGATTTTGATTGAAGGTTTTATGTTTGGGGATTTGGTTTTGGATCTGTGAAGTTAGGGTTTGTAGATTTGGTTGGAGATTGTATTTTGAGGTTATATATGAACTCAAAAACAATCTGAATGTTGTCGATTTCGTGAGGATTAAAGGAATTCTCAATCTGAATCAATTAGAGTTTATGTATCAATGTTGGTGTAACCGTATGCTAACAACATTGGATGAAATGGGGAAGAGAGTACTGTGGAATGAAACGATCGATTAAGAAACCGATGGGCGAATTAGGGTTCCATTTTGTGGGCATTTTTCTAGCTATTCTATGCTTGTTCCTAACCGGTTTTTCAGAAGGAAATCGCAGAATCTCTGAAGAAGCTTCTTCTGGTAATGGCGGCCGTTGGACTCATCAAGAAACAGATGAAAACACTGTATGATTCCTCATTGTGCCTCTAATTTAGATTTCATATTATGATTTTGTTGTTCTTTTATATGATTATAATTGAATAATGATCGTTGAAGGTTTGAAGTTGTATCTAAATTGTTGATAATAGAAGAATAGTTGCAGGTAACAAGCATAAAGTATATAAGTGGTTCAAAAGTCTTATGAAATCCATGGTGGTTCTTAGGATTCTTATATTAGGCTTTATACAACAATTCTTTCCTAAAATGAGACTACTTTCTGAATTCCATCTTTAGAGAGACATCATGTTTATATATAGTTGTATTCATTTAGGCCATTCAATGTTACCATTTTGTCTTTTATGGTTTGAACAAAAGTGAAGATGTGATTGTAGTCCTTCTTTTTGTAACCATTGGTGTTTCGTGTCCGGGCCACCTCGACTAATCCCATGGGGTCATGAAGATAACAGCCAAACTATCCCAATGGCTCTAAGAAGACTCGAACTGTCGACCTATAGGGAGGAACCCAAAGGCCAAGCCTTTATTTGCAGGTTGAGCTGGCCCTCAAGGTTGATTGTAGTCCTATTCGCTTCCATGAAATTTGTAGTAAGGCCCGAATATCTAAAAATATTTGCTTGACCTCATTGGAAACAACCACTCTACTCTTTGGGGTAAGTGATAGATCTGCGTTCATCCAACCCTTGAGACCCCATCGAATGGATATTCTGGGCTCATTTGGTTTGGTTTGGTTTTATTTGGTTTACCTAATGGGATGTTTTTTTGTCCAGGCAGAGCAAGTCTGGGTATATTGTAAAAAAGAGCTTGGAGAAATCGCCAAAACTATGAACGGTTTTAACCTATACTCAGACAATAACCCAAAACATGATGTAGCATCATCAAGAAAGACACTTGTACATAATCCCGTTACTGATCTGCCTCCACAACTCAAACGATCTCTTTTGCTGTCTTTGAAGTCCAAAAGATCTCAATCTCGTGTTTCTGGCTCAGATGGATGTGAAGAATGTCTTTCTAAACTCTATGGTCATAACATCCATCCAAGAAAAACCATCAAAAGACGTCACTATCAGCAAAGGAGGAGATCCCGCCACAGATCATTGGGTTCTGCCCAAAAAGAGCCATCTCCAGCTCCAACCAACTCGCCTGAAACTTCTCATAAGCGTTTATCCCAAAAACTCGAGATCGAACATAAATTGCGACCCAAAAAAAAGCCCCCTGATCATGTGCTACTGATAGGGATTATTGTCTCGACTTCTGTGGCGACATTGTCCCTTTTTGTTTTGCTATTGATTTGCTGTGTTGGAGGCAATGAGAGCAGAGTTGCAATGAGTGCACAAGAAGACGAGAAACCCGTTATCAACAAATGCCCGGGTGGCATTTCTGGTACTTTGATTAACAAAGATTGCACAACTTACGACAGTCGTATAAACCAAATCTAAACCAACCCGACCCATAAACCCCACTGGAAAGTAGGGTGTTTGGGGGGGGGGGGGGTTGAGATGTATGCGGACTTGACCTCTACCCCCAAAAGACTAACAGAAATGTTTCTATTTTCAGGTTGTTCACAAACACCCGAGGCTATTGGAGGCAATAAAGATTCGATAAACTCTTGTAACACAAACAATTTGTCTGCCAATGCTGCTTGCCAAACACCAGAAGGTGGAGACTTACCACTTCCACCAGGAAAAACCGCTCCTCCACCCGAGCCACCACCACCTGCCGCCCCAAAAGCACCTCCACCACCACCACCGATTGGTGCTCGGCCACCTGATCCACCAAAGCTAGGCAATTTGAAAAGGCCACCCGGTCCACCTCCCCCTGTTGGTCTACATAATCACGGGCGTTCCTCTTCTGGAGATGAAAAAGATCGATCCAGAAGTTCTAATAGTCTCAAAACCAAGTTAAAGCCATTTTTCTGGGACAAGATGAACGCTAGTCCTAATCAATCAATGGTTTGGCATGGAATTAAGGAGGGATCATTCCAGTGAGGCTCTAAACTCATTTTATTGTTCATTTGATTCATTATATATCACACTAAAACAACTTTCTTGATGAACAGATTCGATGAAGAGATGATGGAAAGTCTCTTTGGTTATGCTAACAGTCAAAGCAAGGGCGACCGTGGAAAATCTACATCAAACTTAAATCCTCGATCAAAGTTTATTCAGATTATTGATCCCAGAAAAGCACAGAATTTGGCCATTCTTCTAAAAGCATTGAATGTCACAACAGAGAAAGTCTGTACTGCCCTCAAGGAAGGTAACTATCCCGCTACACACGCTTGTGATTTGAGTTATCACTTCTTGAATTTGTGCAAGCCAACCATAGTTGTGAAATTGCAAAAAGGCACTAAAATTTTTGGAAGAAAATTCAAATGAGAACCATAAATATTTTGAGAAAATGGGATGATGGAAATCAACTATTTCATGTATTATTCTTATTCATGATTAGTAACAATGAATATTATTCATGCGTTTTCATTATTCATGATAGCATGCATTTTCATCATGAATATCATGCATATTCATCATCAATAAAGCATAAATAGTTGGTTTCCTGGTTCTCAAAATATTTACTGTTCTCAAATTTGAACCAGCCTGCTACATTTTGCAAGTGATTTTGGACAAGAAGTGTAGAATTTTTTTACAATTTGTCCAAAATCAGAGGTTTTGTAAGCTATAGCATCTTTTCCTTGCATTTTTGCAAGAACAATGGGCATTTTTGCTTCTAGAGTCAAGTAAATACCTTTTTGTAGCTTATTTTCATAGTCAACCTCTTATTGTGTGAATAAAATGATTAGGTAATGAGCTTCCTGTGGTGCTGATTTCAACTTTGATAAAAATGGCACCGACCCAAGAAGAAGAACTAAAACTTCGATTGTATAATGGCGACTTAGATCTTCTTGGCCCTGCCGAACGCTTTCTTAAAGTCGTGGTGGAAATCCCATTTGTGTTTAAACGTTTCGAAGCTTTGTTGTTTATGAGTTCTCTTCAAGAGGAATCTTCTTCGCTTAGAGATGCATTTGCGACCTTAGAGGTGCAATGTCTTCTTCTATCAATTGCAAGGTTATCTTTTCCACAATGTGTATTTTAGATCAAAATGACTATTTACCCTTTCGGTATGATCTTTACAAGTGTCTTTTTGGACCCACCACGACAAATCCAGTAAATTGCACTACAACAAAATCAGCTTTATAATTCGCCAAAAATGTCTAATTGTCTTAATAGACCGCTATATATGACTTTATATAGACCAAATAATTGTATGTCCTATGTGAAGGTGTTATAGTAAGGTGTTAAGGACGTAATTGGACATCCTAACAAGTTTCTAAGGACACTTCTGAAATAAACACTTTCACGTTGTTTGGTTGGTTTTTCATTAAGTACTGTATGGATAAAGATGTCTGTATAGATTGAGAAGGTTTTTGTTTGGGAGGGTTTCATAAATGGAAGGAGCGTGTTTTTTAACTGGGAGGGGAATGTTTCGGATAGGCTTGCCTTTCTGCATAAAGCTCCCCCTAGAAGCTTACCAAATAAGCCATTTTTTATATCATTAAGACACTGCCAAACAATCATATATAGCTGACCAAATAAGTTGCGAGTCTCATTAAGCTCATTAAGCTGCTAACAAACAAGCCTTTATTTTTTATGACTTTTTTCCTGATAATTTAAAAAGACTAATAGGACGCTTTTTATGTAAAAATTGTTCTAAAGCACTTGTTAGACGCCCAAAAGCTCCTATCAACTTATTGTAACAAATTCACATAGGATGCGTGATTATTTGGTCTTGTAACCTTACGTCCTATAAACCAGTCTATTAGGACATTTAGACATTTTTAGCGTCTTATAAAAGCGGATTTTGTTGTAGTGTTGTTTTGAGCAGACTATAACTGCTTTTCTTCCATTCACCATCACAGGTGGCTTGCACAAAGCTGAAAAACAGCAGGCTTTTCCTCAAACTTCTTGAAGCGGTATTGAAAACGGGTAATCGTATGAACGTTGGTACGCATCGCGGTGGGGCCCAGGCAATCAAGCTCGATAGCCTCTTAAAACTCTCGGATGTTAAAGGGACAGATGGCCAAACGACATTGCTATCGTTTGTGGTTCAAGAAATCATCCGGTCAGAAGGAATCAAAGCCGCTCGGGCCAGAGCGCCAAGTGGGAGTTCGTCAACCGTTAACACCAACGATCTTCAAAAAGAGCCGACCGAAAGATCACCGGAATATTACCGAAAACTCGGGCTCGAGGTCGTTTCCCGATTAAGCGATGAGCTCGAGGACGTGAAAAAAGCAGCGGTCATTGACGGTGATAACATTACCTCAACGGTTTTGAAGTTAGGAACCATGTTCAAGAAAACGAAAGATTTAATAAACAACGAGTTGAGTTCCGAAGCTACAGAGTTCTGCAATGCCCTCCACGGGTTTATGGAGCATGCGGAATCTGAGATCATTTGGATGCTCGAAGAGGAGAAGAGGATAATGACGCTGGTCAAGAGCACGGGGGATTATTTCCATGGGAACTCCGGGAAGGATGAAGGGCTACGATTATTTACCATAGTTCGTGACTTCTTGAAGCTGTTGGATGGAGTATGTATCAATATCAAGAAAACGGCCGAGACGAACAGCAAAAAGAAAGACGACACCCCGGCTGGAAAAACCAAACCATCGGTTGAAGAAAATGATCCGCGATCCGCACAAAACATTCACGAGAAACTGTTTCCGGCGATCAAGGACCGCCAAATGGATTATTCGAGTTCAGACGATGAGGATATGTCTCCTTAGTTTTCCTCTCGACTTCAAAGAGGTAATATAACTGTTTTAGTTTCGGTACGTTCACGAATAGTTAATTTTCCAGTAGACATTTTCGGCTTTTCGTCATGAACCAACTGTTTTGTCCAAAATCGCTTACTTTCTCGAGAATGATATTTGTTTGAAAAGAAAAAAGTAAGTACGATGGTTTAAAAAGTCAATTCCCCGTATTAGTAATAATCTAAGATTCCTTAGAATATATGTAAACGGCCCCACTGCATCGATTCCACCTTTTATTATCGGAAGGAAATTTGTGGTGCCCTAGAGGCAAGTGGGCCCGGATTTGAACCCGAGATCTCACTTATGGATTTCTCACCTCATAGTTCAATAGGGATACGTAGGGGTTGTTTGTTAGTAGTTTAATGAGCTTAACGAGACTCATAACTTATTCAGGTAGCTATATATGACTATTTGGTTCTTACTTAATGATATAGAAAGTGACTAATTCAGTAAGCTTATAGGGGAGTTATATGTAGAAAGTTAAGTTTTTTCCAAACATGTCCCTCCCAATTAAAAAACACGCTTCTTCCATCTATATTTTTTTTTTGATCCATACAGACAGATTAATCCATACAGGACTTGGTAAAAAACCAACCAAACAACCCCTTAGGATCCTTTTGGTTTTGCTTTAAAGGGAAGTATGGAATTGAAATCACATAAACATTGGATTTAGAAATCTCATGGTGGTGGTTGTTATTTCACGGGATTTCATAGGATTTATTTGTAATAATGCTTTAAAATATAGGGAAAAGTCTAAAAAAACCTAATAGACGTTAGTGTTTGGAACGATTAACTTTTTGGACAATTTTTTGGAACAAATAACTTCTTGGACATTCCAAAACCTGTTAAATAAGTTCTTGGACATTCTAAAACCTGTTAAATAACTCCTTGAACTTTCTAAAACCTATTAAATACATTCTTATGACCTATAAAACTGATTAATGTGGTAAAATAATGTAAAAAGTCCGAAAAAACCAATGGACTTTCATATTTTGAACGATCAAGTTCTTAAACATTTTTTGAACAAAAAAAGTACTTACATATATAAAAAAAAATATACCATTCTCATTACTCTTCCCATAACATACAAAAGTTGTATCGAAAGCATAATAATCTTCATACAAAATTTGGGCATAATTTTACCAAAATGTATACCAAAAGTTGAACCAAAATATATAACAAAAGTTGAACCAAAATATATAACAAAAATTGCGCCAAAAAATACCAACAATTGCACCAAATATACCAAAAGTTGCGCTAAAATATACCAAAGTAATGCCTAATCTATGTTAAGGTCATGGTATGAACTATTCTTCATTTGCATCATTAATTTTTGGTGGAGACATAACCATTTGACTTTCTTGTAACCCTTCTTGATGTCCAACAATATCATCACTTTCATAATGTTCTTCATCACCAACAGTAGTATCACCTTCATCACGGTCTTCATCATTAACAACAGCCTCTCTTGAAATTGAATACACTAGGATGCCTTCGGTCATGTTGGTTGTGGCACACCTGAGGATGTTTTTAATGATGAAGATAATGTGTAAGCAGTAGTCATTAAAAATGTTATTTGAATCTGAAAAATAAATAATGGCTTACCCCAATCATTGCTTCTCTCGTGATTGGATTATAAGAGACTTCCACATATGATGGTATCCTCTCATCTCTATTGCCTTTTCCACCTCTATTGGCTCTTCTTGTTATAGTCGGTTTTCTAATGTTGAGTCTTCGTCTACCTTTTGCCTTAACAAGTTTAGGTGGTGGGTTCTTCTTTTCATTCTTACAAGTCCTAGCATTATGTCTTGTTTCCAAGCAATTGCTACATGTCATTGCCTTCCCAGATTGAGTCACTTTTGTACCTTGGCTCTCAGATTCTGATCTTTTTCTTTTGATGGATGGTCTACCAGACATTCTCCTCTCCTTATGTGGGTTTGGTTTGATGTAAGGTGTTGAAGTCCACAGGTTGTTCCCATTCAATGGTCGTATAGTATTCTCATAGGCCATTAAACCTTTTACAAAAATTAGCATATATGTGTCTTGCACATTGTCTATACTCTGCATATGGTGCCAACTCTTTTACAACTTCAATGATGCCCTATTGCATAAAATTGCAAAGGAAAGCATAGTTAGAATGAGATGTATGAGGTAAGTTTGTGCTAACACCTCACAAATGACATAATTAGATGATGTGAGGGTTCAAAATACAAAGTACATTGCCTAAATGGAAATCGGATAGGTAATTAAGTGCCTAAATGGGAAAAATCTACCTAAAACTTTAATGGATGATCTAAATGGTGATCTAAAAGTTGAAACACCTTTGAATAAGTTAATATGAAGTGTTAGAAGTGACGAAAGTCGAAAAAGTCGCGTAGATTGCATTTTATGCAAGTTTTACAAATTACGTTGCTATTTCGGTAAACTACGCACACAACACCCAAACAGGAGGTGTTTGACGGGATGTTAAGCTTTGGAACTAAGTTTTGGATCTATTAGGAGTTGTTAGAGGTGTCGAAAAAAAATTATGGGATTCCGAGCTCAAAATCAAAATCGACAAAATTGCAAAGGAAAGCATAACACCTATAAATATGTAAAGTTTTTTTTATTGGGAGATTTTTTCTGGAATATTTTTATTGGAAGTTATAGATTATCTTGTTACGAACGCGTAGGCAAAAATCTCATCGAAAACGGAGGTCCGAACGAAAAGTTGTGAATTTTTTAGTGTTAGGTGGTCAAAATGGGTGATGCAATAGTGCATAAACTGGTATGTTGACATAAAGCATACACTAGTTAATGTTAACAAAGTTCATACCTTGTGTTGATCAGACATGATGGTAAGCCCTGCTCCTTTGATAACATCAGTATCTTCTATTAATAGTTCGATGAACCACTTCCAATTCTCTTTGTTCTCCACATGTACTACAGCCCAAGCTACATAAACATTCAACATTGTAACGAGTTAAACACATAATAACACTTGATATTAATGTAACAAGCATAGTTTGGATGTATATACCTATAGGGTAGATCTGATTATTTGTCCCGACCAATAGCCGGTATTAACTCTCCTGTGCACACCCCTTTCAAAAAACAACCATCTAGTCCTATAACCTTCCTACATCCACTAATTCACCCATCTCTTAGTGCTTTGAAGCATACATAAAATCTCCTAAATTCATTGCTTCCAGCTGCCATTAAATTTACGTCCATCGTAACTGTAGATCTTGGATTGACCCTCCTAATTTTATGTCCATAATCCCAAAGTTTTCCATCATGTGCTGTCAAAGAACCTTCAATTTCAAGAAGTGTCCTGGACTTGGCCCGTATGCATTGACCCATGCTAACTTTGACCATAAACGTTTTCCAAAATTTCATCTTGCATATCCTTGATTTTTATGAACGGTTTTTCAGTGAGTTCTCTAACATAATTTTTTGCAATCCAATTTGGTGTCACTAGGGATCCAAAACTGTAGTCTCTACTACATATGTGCTTACAATTAATGCTTTTAATTTGAAACGACTTTTCTTCTTGCATCCAAGATGCCCATAATCTAAAAGGACATGTGTGATCTTTTTGATCTTTTCCACATGGAACAAGTAGTCTTTCTGAATCATTTTTCACATATTCTAGTTGACAACCATTTGCAACCGCATAGTTGATCAAACACTGTTTTAATTGACTAGGATTCTCATACCTCTCACCAAGTCCGGGCTTCATCAGCTTCCAAGGAATATTAGGATCATGTATCGGGTATTCGACACCTTTTTGTATAGCATGATCTCCAACATTATCATCATCTTCATTCACATTAAACTCAACGTTGTCAGTCGTGTTTACAATACAAAGCTTATTTAGAACTGATTATCAACTGTTGTATTTAAATTAATTATATCATCCTCATCTTCAAGGTCTAAAGATAAAGAATCTGACATACGTTCACTTGAATTATCGTTTATTTCATAGTTAGGATCATCACTACAATCACCATCGCAATCAGATATCATTCTCTAAACAAGAATAACGATTTCATCACGATTCACTAGTGAAAACAAAACCTATCATACTCTAGAAAGGATGGCACAAAATGATGTTAAGAATTCACAAATGAAAAGAAAACCTATCAACCACAAATGATATCATGGTGTTGGAAAGTAGGTTCATATTGCATTATTTATGCTTGCCAACAGCTATGGCCTTCAAATTTAGAACAATGTTGGAAAAGACTTGACTAGATCAAACTGCAGCGGCGATCGGCGATAGGAATGGTGCAGCAGCGACCGATGATGGGACGGTGGTGTAAGGCGACGAGCGTTGGTGTGGCGGCGATGGGGGTGGTACACCAGGGACCGGCGATGGGACTGTGTTGTAAGGTGACGAGCGATGGTGCGGCAGCGACGGGGGTGGTGCAGCAGGGACCGGCGATGGGACGGTGGTGTAGGGCACGTTAAGCAGCGAGAGGGAGACAGGGAGTCGATGTGTTTTTAGTGTAGTTTTAGGTTTTTTATTTATTTTGAGGTTTACCTCCTATTCATGTTACAAGTTATATTTTTAAAGAATGATGATCTATTTAACATGTTTTAAAAGGTCCAATGAGTTATTTAATAGGTTCTGGAATGCCTAAGGATTTATTTGTTTCAAAAAATTGTCCAATGACTTAATTGTTCCAAACATTAAAGTCCATTGAGTTCTTTTGAACTTTTCCCTAAAGTATATTAGAAACATTTGTTTTGTAATAATCAATTAACAATTTTTTTATTTTCTTTATAATTCTTTATCTGTTTTTTCTATAAATTATCTATTCAACTCCTACAAAATAAACACACCAAATATTCCAAATCTCAGTCAAACCAAATGTAGTTATATCTACATCTGAATCATTATGAAATTCGCCAATGTTTTACACAACATATAATCGATTAAGTGTTCGATTACCGACCACATGTTTGTAAGTTCTTTAATAATGTCAAAATAGGAGAATCTTGTAAGTCTATGTCAATCGCATAAAATAGAATGTGACAGCTCAGACAATTACGAGGATCTGTAAAAAAAACCATCGCTTTACCTTTTGAGGTAGAGAACAAGTTTGCATTCATCTCATCCTTCGGACCCTATTTTTAAGTAGAATATGTTGGGTTTGTCTGGTTTAATTCATAAGAGGTAGTTATGGAATTTCAGCTTTAAATTTTTAAGCAGAAAATGTTACAACTTTCATGAAACAGAGCAAATAGTTTTTTTACTCGTAAAAGTCTAATTTGTAGTCTTGTAACTTTGTGAAGATCTTGGGTTAAAAATATGGTACTTAACACCTTTCGTCGTCGTACTTCCTCAGGTTTACAACGTTGTGGAGGTTTTACAAGTAAATAAAATTAGAAAAGGGCAAATTATGTACTTTAACTTGTTTTCTATTTTAGGTAACGTAGTTTCAAAACTTCTATTTTGGTACCTAAGATGTATAGTTTTAACATTTAAGTACTCAGGTAACCGGTTGAAGCATTAATCGGTTACCATGCTGATGTGGTGAGTGATGTGGTATCCAACTCAGTATTATTTGTTGAAGCATTAACTGGATATCACATCACTCGCCACAATATATATACTTTTTGGATATACGATATTAGTTTGAAATCGTTATAGTTTTTAGGGTACGGATATTAGTTTGAAATCGGTTACCATGCTGATGTAGGATTTTATAAAATTGATACTTAGGCTTTATTTATTGGGCAAAGTGTATAAAAACGTAACATACTTTGACCTAGTTTATATCTTGGGTAACCTACTTTAAGAAAATATGAACAAATTGTATGAAAATGTAACGTACTTTGATCTGATTCTTATTTTAAGTAACATACTTTTAAAGCTTTCGTTTTGGCACCTATAATATAAACTATGTAAGGGAAGGGAAAGATGGTCATAGTGAAAGGGAACGGAAAGGAGGTTCTACGAATTACGATGAGAGGGAAGGGGTGTCGAGGACCAGAGAAAGATGAATTTACGGTGAAAGGGTTGCCGCATCATTAATAATATATTTTTTTAAGTATATAAAATTTATATACGACAAATAGAACAAAAAACTCACACATCCTTCTCATCTTTGATGAGGTTTGAACCCTTGAGGAAGTCAAAGACTCATATATCGCTAGACCAAAGACTCACATACTGCTAGGTCAAATGCCCTTTCAAGTATCAAGTCATCAAGTACATGAGGTACTTAAATGTTCACATGTCAAGTATTAAAATAGAAGTTTTAAAAGTATTATATCTAAAATAAAAATTTATCGTCAAGATTTAATTTGATAGTTTATCAAGGTGATTTATTATGAATCTTCGTATTCTTCATCAATGAGATCACAAAGAAGCCTTGAGTTGGAATCTCTAAGGGGCTGTTTACCGTCATGCTATGGGAGCTGGCCATGTCCGAAGTCGTTACCTTAATTTGACGGACTTTACGTAACGAAGAGGGACCAGGTGTGTTAAGAAAGCTAAAAGTTAAGAACCACCTACATAAGTGCGTATGTTTGTACAATTCGAGAAAACAGTGTAAGAGCGTCTCCAACAAATTCTACAAAATGGAGATTTTGTGGAGTTTTGCTCGAACAGATTCGTCAAAATCTTCTCCGAAATGGAGAAAGTATAAGAGAGGGGGGAGGAAATTCTCCAAATTTGGAGAATTCTTCAAAGATGATTACTTACGAGAGAGAAATGATTTTTTATTCATTCTACCAATTAGATTGTTTAAAATTAAATGGTTAATAGAAACAAATAGTATTTTATGAGCTGTATTGATTATTTTAATAATATAATTAATCGTGTAATCTCCAAACTAGATCATTTGTTAGACGCTGTCAAAACCCATTTAAAAGAGCCATCGATAAGCATCCATCTTCACATTCTTCTTCTTGTTCTTGTTCGACATCTCTGTTTCCCATCGTAACGGAAACCCTTCTTCGTTATTATTCTTCCTGATTGTGGTTAACACAGCAATAACCATTGATTTAGTTTTAGTTTTTAGTTTGATTTCTTTTGATTAGGGTTTGATTTATTTTCTTGTTTAGGTTTTAAGGTTTGCTTCAAGGGGTGTTTGGGATTGCTTATAAAAACAACTTATTGACTTATTTCGGTGTGACATCGGTAATAAGCACTTTTGAGTGTTTCGATAAACAGTTTATACCGGTGTCAAACCGGTAATAAATAGTTTGTGAAGAAGTTAAACAATTCTAACTTATAATAAGTTGATAAGGACTTTTATAAAAAAGAACACGTTGTTTCAAATAAGCAAATCCCAAACACCACCTTCGTTTTTGTATTACAAATCTTTTGGAACTACATACCAATACCATGCATGGACCAAATGCATAATTTACTCTGGCTTTTATGAAATAGATGGAACTAGGGTTAGCTCAAAAAACCGACCTATCTGGCCAATCCAATCGAAGCCATTCGACACCTAATCAACTTGTAAAAAATCTTCAAACCGTAGGTATTTGGTTGGGGTTGGATAAGGACCATTTGAACCCAACCAGATGAACCCTGATACCATGGATTTAATACGATCATTAAGTTCTTAATTAATATATGTAATTGTTGACCTTAGTAGAAAGTCTCTGTGTAAATATCTTTTAACATCTGTTATATAACTGTTAGCTTTTTTTGTATGTTTTTTTGAATAGAATCGTTTAGCTAGATTGGAAAATGATGTACCAAGACTTAAACCCAACTAACCTGTTAACCTAATCCAATCCATACAGATTGGGTTGGGTCGTACTTTTGTTAGGATCAAGTTGAGATCTTTCAAACTGCAAACATAGCTTTAAGTTGTTCAAATGTATTCAACCAGACTAACACAATCCAAACATATATATCAAGTCGACTGAACATTCTATATCGATCTCACCAACGTCAAACTTGCACGTCTTACGATCACGCATATAGGTACAACCTTTTATGTAACCTCTGGATAGCCCATCGCAGAACTCACGACAATCCAGTCAAGTCGCAATCGTCTTCACAACCTCCTAGGTCACGTTCGTTCAACATGCGAAGGTTGTTCTTCACAAACGACAGTCCACTAATCAACTTCCGACACATCATCATCAAACTCAATTTTACAGTCTCATGTACAAGTAAAAGATTAGCAGTAAAAACATGAAGATTAGCAGCAGCAGATTCACAAGTTATCAAGTATGGTAAAAGAAAAGACAGTAAGAACCTCAAAAAGATGTTTCATTTTCCCTTTTCACTTCTTCTGATATAATGAGGTAAATAACCATAAACAAAAAGAAAAAACAAAAATTTACTTTTACTTTTACTTTTACTTCACCTACCCAATAATGAATTACAAATTACAAGACCTACAAAAGAGCAAAAAGAAAGGGACTGTAACTGTACACAAGAATATGAAAAGAAGCCACCCAGAAATGCTTCTTGTCCGCCCGACCGATTTATAACACCATGTTGTGGCCTCGGTTTTGGGCAACGAATCGAATCTAGGGCTCAGTTTCTCAAGTTAGGTCGTCGGTCCGTCATCGGTCCCACATGGCTTGGTAAATAGGTGGTCTGTGCTTCAACCAATGCACCAAGTCTTTGTCTAAAGGAGCCTTGCTTAATAACACGTCTAACATCGGACTACCAAAAACTTTCGGATTGCTCTTGAATGACCATATTTTGTCTTTGGGCCACGGCTTCTGGGGCTGCTTTTCCTGAAAAATGAAACACCATTCGCTTCAGTATAACAAACAAAACGAACCCGATGAATCCCTCACTTCATTGTTCAAGGATTAAAGACTAGGAGGTTGTTTAATAAACATTTACTGCCTCTTACCAGGTAAGAGAAGTTTACTAATAAAAAATCTTACCCGGTAAGTGAGGGTGGTGACTCTTGCCCAGTTGGTCGTTACCGGGTAAGAGACGCTTATACTATGCTATTTTGATGACACGCAATTTTACCCAGTAAAGTAATTGCGGGCAGTGACTCTTACGCAGTAAGCGCTTACCCAGTTTGTGTTGGAAAATGAACCCTAAAGCTATGCTTGGCAAACTAGCTGTTAACTGAAAGCTAGTTGTTGGTAAAAACAAGCTAAAAGCTAGATAACAATGTAAAATGACCTAAAAGGACATGTTGCAAACCTAATCAGGAAAATATAAGAAGCATAATTGAAAAAAAGTGGAAAAACTGACCATTCTAGCAAGCATGGACTTGACAGTTCTTGGGCCATAGACACGCTGTGGTGATGGTTTCTGGACTTTGGCATAAAAGGAGCCAATTTCCGGTAACGATAAGCAACCCCTGCTCGCTCTGATCAGGTTGGAATCTGGCTCTGCATAAGCTTGGTTATGCCAAAAGATCAGCTGTCCTAAACAGTAGTTCTTGGCATATGTCTTGCGGTATTCATGGAATCCCGGTCCCAATTTTTCAGCCGACTTGGGGCCCAGGTCGAGAGGACTAATGTAAACAGGTGGCGATACGACCGTCTCATACTCCTACAATTAGAGATAAAATAAGAATATGAATATGAAGTCAACAAACAACATCAACGTCAAACACAACGAAATTGGACTCACCCGAACTCTAAAAAAGTACTTTGTGTGAGCATAAATGTGTATCAGATCGGCAGCAGCATCATGCCGACATTTGTATGAACAAGGAAGGTTTCGAACCTCATCTCGCAACCTGGAAGACAAACAAAAGTCAATATACAGTCAACATGAAAAGAAGCTATTTCAGTATTTCACAGTTCACAGGATCCATTGTTTACCATAACAAAGATTTTCGAAGCCCTCCTTGAACATCGTCAGAAGATGGATCATGAGCACGAATACTGGCCCTCAGATCATTCAGGTGTCCATCTTCCAAATGAGGTGCGATACATTGAATAAGTTCCTCGATAAAAGATCCCTCGCCTTTCCAGATGAAAGAAACTACCTCTTTGGGAGTAAGCTTCTCTAATAATGGTGGAGCTTTCTTTGGATCTCCAAAAACAGTTCGCATCACATATCTCACCTATAAACGGAAAAAATAGAGTTTACCAAAAAGCATCAAGGAAGTCGAAGTCAAGATTTCGAATCGAGAAAGAAGAGTTACCTTGTCCAGCGTAAGAGCCAAATTCTGAATCCTTTGATTAAAAACACCCTCAGCCTGTCTCAATCAAGAAGAAACAAGTACCATGAGCCAAGTGAAAGAAATTAGAGCTACAAACACATTCGAAATTTTGAAAGAAATAAAAAAGAAAAATAAGCAACTAGGGCAGGTTCATTAGAGAACTGTAAATATTTTGAGAACCATGAGAACCAGTTATTCATGAATTATCAAAGATGCATACAATGAATAATGGAAGTGCATATGAATAATATTCAAGAATCTTTAGGTTATATTCATTATGAATAGCCTATGAATAGTTGGTTCTCAATATTTACGGTTCAAAAACGAACTTCCCCCTAAGCAACTACATATACCAAGCTACTCATAAGTTGGAGGTGGTAGTTGATCACATTTACCTGAATTTCAGCTTCATTTCTCTCGGTATCCATGCAAATATCTATCAAGTATTTCCTCTTCTCTTCCAAATTATGAGTTAAAATCACCTTCGGAAGCTTGGTTCTTTCAAAATGGATGAACCTTACCTACAATAAAAATAAATCTTAGAAGCGAGTCCAAGTTTTTCATCAATATCACACTCATCGACAACTAAATGGGAGAGGGATCATACCACCCGAGCGGTATATGCAACCAGCCAATCCGGCAACCCACTAAGCAAACAACTACCGAGTCCGGCTTTACTCAATTCAATATAATCTTCTTCTGATACAGAATTCACTTCACAAGCCTCCAACATCAATTGATGCCGATTTAGAATTCCATGGCATTCTTTGAGCACCTGGGAAAAACATAACACGGAAATGAAAATTATAAACAACCTTGCTTATGATTGTATAACATTATTTTCAGGTTTATTAGGTCCTTCACACTCAATTCCATTTGGATTTACGATATTTAGGCTCAATTTGCTTAAATTCAGGACTTCACTGAACTTACTTTTTGGAAAGCCCCTTCACCAGTCAAATTCAGAAAACTCCCTCGGCAAACTTGGCTTCCACATAAGCAAACAGATGCCTCGTATTCTTCTTTACTCTTTATCGATATAAGAAACACACAGAAAGATTATTCATCATCTGAACAAACTTATATTTAGACAACTGAAAGCTACACTCAAGGCAGAGAAGGTAGTAGGCTGCATAAGCTCACCTCTGTTACAGAGTTGTAATCGAAAGTAACTTCTTCTCCATATACAATAGGCCGTACGCTATAGATGCCAATTTGATACTGACCGTCAACAGCGGTAACTCTGTTCCCAAGATAAGGATGGATCTAAGTCAGTTGATTGATGTTGTCAATCAAATTATAGTTGACCAATAATTTACCCATTCTTTTGTATAATATTCAACAAAAACACAGATGCAGGTGGCATTGTTCAAGAAAGAAACATACAAGTATATGATATATGAAAAAATCAACAAATATTTTAAGACTGAAATAGAGAACAGTGATGACCTTCATTTGAAAAGGTTCATGTTTCTTCACTAGAAATGAGAACATGTATGAATGAAGTATATAAACTTCTGTTTCAGATAGAAAGAAAAAGTACATAAACTTACTTTGCTTCACAATTTGGTCTACACGAATGACAAATCCGGCTAGCGTAGTTGGCTTTATGCATTGCATCAACTATAACCAAGTCATAACCATCGCCATCACCCTGACAGCCACAATAGAAACATGATAAGGTAGATTTTCTAAAATCGTCAAAATATAAATCTGATGAATGAAATTTCATCAAGTCAAAAAAAATACCTTCGGCCTTTCAAGATAGATGTTGTAGAACTCAGGTGCCGGTTCTTTACTGTCTTTTTGCAGACCACGAATACCATCTTGCTTCTCAAACCATCTCCAAGCAGGATAAACCTAACAATATGTGACCCATATGTAACACACATAACTTTGAATCTTTGCAGTTTAAGCAAAATATTGAACGAACATTAAAGATCAAGAACCAAGTAATAGCAAATGTGTATCCTTACCTCTCCTAAAAACTCCACAACAAAATCTTCCTCACCAAAACCAGATTCTTTGTTACAAACAACACCAAGCCCCTGAATTAAGAAATTAACGATAAATACAAATGGCAGAAACAAGACAGTTTAAACAACACTTCTTGGTTCAGATAAATGAACAACACAATACAATAAGGCTACGTTTGGTAAACTAGCTGATGGTTGATAAGCTAGTTGATGACTGATAAGCTAGCTGATGAATGAATTATGTTTGGCAAAAACTAGCTTATAAGCATGTAAAATGACCAAAAAGGACATCTTGAAAAAATAGTCAATTACAAATATTTCATGATATAAAACAAATAAATTTCTAATAATATAATTAAAACAAATTTCTAATAATATAATATATTGATTAATACAACCAAGATAGTGAGAAAAAAAATATAATATAATAATTGAAAGAATTTGGAATTGATTATTATATACATATTGTAAAACTTGAATTTGTTAAAACAAAATTTTGAAAAATCTATAATAATGTGTGATTTTAAATAACCATTACCTATAATATGAATCACAACAAAATTGATCAACCTCACATATCCTAATTAATAAACATTTTTTCAAAAATAAAATTAATAATTAAATTAAATATTTATTAGAATTATTTAGCATATTTTAATCATCTATGAAATAAAATAAGTATAACTTTAACTTTTATGTAACTTAAACATTTTTAGAATTGTTATATTTGCTTTTTGATATATAAATATATTGAATAATAATTAAAGAATAATTTATATAGTTAATATTTAATAACATTTATAAACAATTAATAATTATTATCTATTGTATAATTAAAATTAATTAATAATTTTTAATTAATTTTACTAAAATTAATATTTATTTATAGTTAATAGTTGATATTTATTAATAATTAATATTCATTTACAGTCACTAATAATTAATATTAATTAAGGTTAAAATTGGAAAAGGTGTCAAAACAAACTTCTATACGCTACTCCAAGTAGCTTAACAATAAGCTAGCTTACAAGCTAACTAATAAGCTAGTTTATGTGCATCCAAACGATTACTCAAAATATAAGCTAGCTTATGTTTGCCAAACAATGCCCAAGTGAATGCATACCTTTCTATAAGCAACATAATTATCATCAGGACGGCTACCCATAGCCTTCAGCATATACTGACAAAGCTCTGCTGTCCGTGCATCATGGTTTTCTTTGGCACTTTTTAGTATATCCTCGATCACGGGCTTCAATGAATACTTCATAGGAGTATTGCCAGTACCTGTGAAAGCTCTGACTTGCTTATTCAAGGTGCGGAGAAGCACATCTTCAATGAACACGTGCTTATCCAAAAGATGCCAATCCGATTCCTCTGGCATAGAATCTAATAGAAGATTATGAGTGTATGGATCTATGCCATAAACTTCTTGTTCTATCACTTCATCTCCAAGCTGCTTCCTAGGTTTATAGTCTTTAACTTCAGGGAAGTCCATGTCGGATTCCTCAGTTCCGTTCTTCTGGGCAATGAGCTTCTCAGAATAGTCTTCAGGTAAAGTGACTTGCATCTTTCTTTGCACGCTTTCATGATCTGTTACAATAACGTAGTGATCAATTACTTCATATTTCCTAGTAACGGGTGGAACAAGGCTCGCCTTTGTCATGCGAGCACCCCATTCACGGTCATCAGTCAAGGAATCAAATCCATCATCTGCACTAACGTAACCATCCCCTCTTGACTCCACTGCTCCGCTTTCTGATCGCATATCCAAGTCACTATTAGTATCGGAGGAAGTACTCTCACTGTCGGTCTCTGTTTCTTCCGATGACCTTGAACGATCATCAGATGTATCACTTCCTGAATCCAGAGATTTTCTGTTTAACTTGGATAAACGCCTTCTAATTTCACGATCAGATGCATAATACCCATGTTCAGTACTGCCATTAATAAATCCACTACTTCTACCCGTGTACTTTCTTTCTCTATTGAGCTTCTTTGACTTTGAAGCAGAGCAGAACCCTGGAGGAGAGCCATCTTTCCAATTCTTCATCATCGCATCTTTCTCGATCGAAAATTTGGAACGATCTTCCAAACTTGTGGCAAGCCGGATAAATAATGTGATGATGCGATTCATATCTTTGACATCCCCCTTACTTTTTTCTCTGGAGTAACAAATACATAATGGTGATTAAAAGAAAGCTTAGAAAAAAAGTTGATAATCAAGAATTTCTTAGCATAAGAAACAGAACAAAATAAGCAAACAGCATGATAAATTCGAACACTGCTAGATTCACTGTTATGTATTCAATCAGGAAAGAGAACAGCTGAACAAACATAGGCAGAAAGCTCAGTTGGCATTATAAGACCAGGGAGTGTGCTGGCTTACAGCATAAACAGAGTCATGCACTGAGTATGGCCAGATCAGCAAAATCGACAGACTGGCTAGCCTGCAGCCCAAAACATCAGACTGATAAAATTTGGTCCAGCCTGGTTTCCTAATTCGTCTCCTATTCTCCCATATATATATATATATGCTCCTAAAATCCCTCATACTTCACCATTCTTTCACCCAAAAGCAAGCCCTGTCTCTATGATTATGTCCTACCTGTATCCTAAAATTATCCCAAGCTTTACACTTACAGCACCCACATCCAATTCTCCATACTGCTCATTCTCCAATGTTGATATCATTGTTTACTTTTGTTTTTTAAGATTGTTATAAATTGCTAAATAAGACAGACCAAGTGATCATGGCAATTACATTGTTTTTTGTGCCAGTGCGCACTTTTATGATAATTTATTGTAATACCTTGCCATATCAAAGCACATTAGATCAGACAATAAGACAAAATTGTGTGTTGCATAGATTATACCGAGGACAGAATCTTATTTTTTTCATGTTTGTGGTTCTACTTCTGGTTGTGCCCAGCTTGTTCTGATTACATAATTAAACAGATGATAGGTAAATTATTGCAAACTTTTGGTAGAGCCAAACTTGGGGCAATCCCTTTACATATATAAAAAAAACTCTTTAATTTCCGGCTCTTTCATTTTTCCTGCTTGAAGGACTCACTTGATTAGCTAAAATAGATTGCCACATAAAGGAATGATCAAAAGAAAAACTGAAGTACTGCAGTTCATTTATATTGAACATTTATCGGTTTATAAATAACAGCAAAAAGTTCCTTCAAAAGTTGGAAATATCAAATGACTCATAAGCTGGGACAAAACCAGAGGCTCTAGTTCTGGAAGGAGAGAGTATAAACATAATCCATAGCATGCACCAGAAATTGAGGACATTGAAAGAAAAAAGAACTAATAGAACAGAGTCAAAATCAGGACTTACTTTATAGCTTCCCTACACATTCGTCTAATATCATCTTTCACAGAGCTCAACCCCCGCCCGGCATAATAACCATTTCTTATTTTACCCTCAATTTCAGCCACCTGGCCATCAAAAAGAAGTTAGTTGTAGTAATAGGCAGGTGACGCGTAAAGAGAAAAAAAAAATATTAGGCAGTGATATAGTACTTTTGGAATGAAAAATTCAAATGTATTCTCCTTCATGATGTCCTTCAGACCCAGAGCTAGAAATTCTTTCATCCTCTTGTACCCATTTTCAGATTTCTTCATTGCCAAACGCCTCAACTGGGCATCTCTAGATAGCATTGACGATGATTTTCTGGCATCAAATACCTTGGAACGTTTGTACAAGCTTCTTCGGAATAACTGATTTGATGCGTCTCTCTTGTCCAGAGACTCGAAATAATCTCTAAGCCCACTAGAATCCTCCACATGACTATCCCGACTATCATAAGTTCTAAAAACTGATGAAGTTCTTTCACTCAAGTGCTTGATGCTCCCCATTGTTGACTGTGAGGTCCGGCTCTTGACCCATATGATATTTGGAAATTTACAAGCCAAGTCTTCAAACTGGCTGCAACCTCTGATATCTACAGATGATAGACTAGGGAGCAACCCCAAAATTTCTTCAAGCATGCCAGGAGTTATTTTTGTGCAACCACGTAGAACCAAGGAAGTAATTTTCTCTTTATTATAACCATTCTGCAAGGAAATAATAAATTTAAATCATTAAATACAACTATCTCACTTTCAATCATGCTTAGACAGCACAGCAGGCATACTTTTAAGGTGCAGCTTTTACCAAAAAGGAAAAGGAAAAAAATTATCACTAAGAAGCAGAAGAAAATATCAACTGACCATTATGTTGTGGATCATAGAGTCTGTGCAATTTGACACCGAAGACAAGTCAGCCTGTCTAGAGATATCCTTGTAGAACTTTACAACAGATCTCCAGTGCTTACAAGTCAAATTGGCATAAACAAGAGATTTTATATCAGTTCTAAGGAAATGGAAAACTCTTGCCAACACCTGTCCATCTAGTAGACCCCAACTTTCATTCTCCCCCACTGATTCCCCGCTTTTTTCTCTGCAGAAGGTAACATCACCACACAGATCTTCAAACGGGAATTCGTCCTTTTCCAATGTAGATACACCATCTTGTAATTCATAATCTCCATCAAATCCATCACCCACAAAACGAGCTCTTTTGTTAGCTTGATCTGTGCCCACAGATTATAAAACTTAAGTTTTAAATAGCCTCATAAACAAACCAGGGGAGAGGGAAGAAAAAGACAGGGAAAATAATGAATTGATGCAACTGTTGTTCCCACAGAGAAAACCTTGATACACAATCCTGCCATTCCAATATTTGACACGGAAACTTTGCATAATTGATAAGAGTACAATAAATGTTGAGTTGAACACTTGGATCAAGATCTTCAAAATGAAATCTAAAATGGAGAACGTATCATATGAGTGAATCAGTTAAGGTTCGCCAGGTAAGCTGTGGATTATTACGTTATCTCAAAACCTAAACTTGGGTACTCTATAATAAAATGCATTAAGGCCAAATGTTCATTGGTTATAAAGGATGGGAGCATGGACAAGAAAACACATTGAGAATTTTAACTCGTAAAAAGTTGGGTGATAGGGTGCGGGTACAGGTGCAAGTGATAGATGAACTGGAAATAAACCAAGAAAATACACACATCCTATGGAGTGGAAAGGGTTTGGCCAAATCTAGTTTGAGCCTCACAGTAGATAGAAGATAACCAAAGGCACCACACAGCATATTTCTTCTGTACATCTTTATGCACTTGGAAAACATGTGTGCTTGCTTTAGAGAGGGAGAGACAGCTAGTCAAAGCTTACAATGGACAAGTAGGTTTTTATATAAAAAAGGTATCCCGCAGGAGCACATTGATAGCATTATAGAAATTGAAAACGACGGCTATATACAGCATAAAGAAAGAAAAAGAGACAAAATGGAGATTTGAGACAGTTTTTAATACCTGATCTTGCGAACTTGTTAGTGATGGCTGGATTATATATGCTTTTCTCTATTTCTTTCCTCGGCTGTCTCAGGTTGATCCATGGGTCTAAAACCTCATTTATGGCTGCAGCAAACTCCCGACTCTTGTACGACTTCATGATCAATTCATGAAGCTTTCCTCTAGTATAGCCAATAAACTGAGGATGCAAATTGTGGAATGAACTAGAAATTGCATGGGTTCCACTCTGTATAGCATCTGCGGTTTCCAAAGCTGATGCTCCAGATGTATCACTAGAGTTCTCCGTATCAATCTTTCTTGCAACTTCTGCAGCAGAGGTAACTGGGACCCACAGTTTATCAAACTTCCTGAAAACACTGCTATGCTTCTGGATGATACCTTGATCAGCCAAGATTTGAATTTCCGAGTATGGCAATGGCCCCCGCTCATGACCAGCACCATCAAGATAATACCAATCACCAAGATTTAATTGCAAGTCATCTCTAGTGGAAAGATGATCTTTGGGCATACTAAGAGACATGATGCTCTTCCAAGAGGAATTATGGCCTTGTTCATGAGTATTTTTCCTGCGAGAAACACTTTCCTCCGATGATCTCTTAGAATCATTAGTCACACCATAGCGGTGACTAGGCCTCGAAGAGTATCTTTCTTTCCCTCTAGCTTTCATGCGAGGTTCTGATACAAATGAACCATGATCCTTAACAACACAAGTGTTTATCCTGATCACTGGAAGCATCATTCCTTTCACTCCTCTCACACCGAAATTTTTTGTTTGACTTGACCTGTACTCGGTAGACTCGTCTGATGGGTTAAAGGCCCAAGACGGAAGATCAAGCCTCCTGCCATGAGAAGAATGATACAACTCATCTTTCTGATGCCAACGAGGGTCTTCATGCCCAGACTTTGGCATCTGACACAGAGAATAACCATCATTAAGCACGAACTTCTTTCTCCAAAATCTATCTTGAGCAGCCTCATCAACCCTCTTCCAGTCCCCACCCTTGCATGACCATCGGCCAGAAAACCAGTCACAAGTATCTCCAAACTCGAATGAACAATCCTTGTCAGAAGGTGCAGGTCCAGCTGGCCTTATATCTGCAACTTCTTTAGATGGAAACTCAGTGTGACTGGATACGTCCTCACCCGTTTTGAGACTATCATGATCCGCAAACTCACATTGATGAAATGTGAAACCTGTGAACACATCAAATAAGACACCTATTAATATTCACGGTCATAAAAGAACCAAGGGAATGCATAAAGTGGTAGCATACACACACTTCTGTCACCACTTCATGTAGTTGTCCAAACAATATATGCATTTACACTCCATAACAAAGGTAACATGTTGAGTTTAAAAAGGAGAGCAAGACAAGTATGGCATGGGTTACTTCAGCGCCGTAGTGCCTAGTACTCAAACATTTGCTTGAGGCATTTTATGGGTTTTGGTATTCCTCCTTGGGCTTCTATTTGTAAAAAAAGTTTTTACACAACAAACGATATTTGTACAGAGAACAGGTATATGTCATCTTCACATATGAAGGGTCCAATATAAATGGACCATACCATTTGACAGGTATCACAAATGTTGGTCAGAAAAGTTCTGTTCTCGTTCACCTATACCAACTTACTTCATTCTCCAATTGATGGTTCCCATATTCCTTTCACCTCGCCTAAAGTGAAGGGAACCCAAAATCACAGCTTAATTTCTTAGCAGAAACACATAATTGAGATCCACAAAATAAAAAAGTTAATTGTGAAAACAAACCGACCTCCTCTTTCAATTATGTAGTATCACTAATGCTTTGTTTGGTTGGGATGAATAGAATGATAGAATGTATGTGACCCATTCAGCGCAATAGACCTTGCAAAAACAAGAGATTTGGTAGAATGAACATTCCCGTTGGGCCTGTTTCCGTTCCAAATCTTTAACTAAACAACATTTTTTATTCCTTCAAAATAAATCGTTCTACTCGAGCCATGCTTCACAAAGGCCTAAATAAATCAACCAATAAATATATTACCCATGCAGGTAAAGCAGGATGGTACCATTGTGAAGAGGGGGTTGGCCACACTTTATTTTGGTACATGTTTCAAAGTATAGAAACTTAATCAGTATGCTTTTCTCATTTCCAGATACTACACACTAAAGACGCAAGATATTAGGTCCCATCCATGTCATGATTTCAGTTTTCACGAACGGTTTTTTGACTGTCGCATAAATTAGGTTGGTTGCTAGTACTCCTTCCGTCCTTGAAAAACACAATACCTATATTTTGGATAATCCCAAAGAAATGCAGCATTTCCTTTTTTTGGAATGATTCCTTCTCAAATTCACCTATTTGCCCGTTAGCAATAATTAGAAGTTATTAGTGAGACTGATTGGTGTTTGATCGGTAGTCAAAAATAATTATTAACCGTGTGGAGGCAAACTTTGTATTTTCTGTGGAACAGGTGGAATAAATGAATAAATTAATATGCCGTAAAATAAATTTAATGTAAGCAACTACAGCCCTCTTTTCATCTTAAGAAATAAAAGAAAAATGCAAATAATAAAATCAAACAGATAAATTTGATAATGGTAAAGAAAAATGAAGGGACTGTCTTCAACGTTACAGAACTTCTGCAACTGAAGATTCAGTACAAAGGCAGCTAACCCTTAGATAGGATATAAGTTCAATGGAAGTGAGTCGCAATAACTTAAAGAGTTAAAACACATCCTTAAAAACCTACACCCAATTTTATTAAAGCGCTCACAGAATTAGATTTGGTGTCAAATAATAGCAAAACCTTCTTCAAGTATCACATTTAACAATCTCATCTATACACCATAAAAAAGTGGAAACTTCATCCAGCTTATGTTTCAGATTTGTTTCCAAAACGAAAATAATCATTTCAAAGTATACTTGATTAATTCTCAAAGCATGCAACTGTTTGGGTTAGATTTGGCATCTCTAAATGACATTAACATAATCGTAAGCAAAAGAGGGATAACGATCACAACTGTAACTTGTTTAAGTAAGCATGGAACTATAACCAAGCAAGACCAGATCTAAAGCACAAACACATATCTTAGGTCTACATAGCCAACAATATCCCCTACGTCTAAGCATCATCATATCGTTCCAAAAGAAACATATGAGCAAGGTGTGTGGCCTCCCATAAAATGCAAATTTTTTTCTTTCCATATTTTAGCAATTTGAATTTTGAAACCTAACATGACATGTCCTGTCGATAAATTTCTAGTGGGTGAGTGACAACTAGCGTAAGTTTGACCAAGTTCAACCATCTAAAAGGATCATGATATATAAGTCTATGATGTCGTTTTGATTGAAATGGCAACTACTATGAAGGGGAAACAAATTATAAAAGGGAATGAAATATATAAAATAAAATAGTACCTTCTGAGCATCCCCATCTCTGCAGCTCACCATGGGAAAATGTCATTTGCAGCACTTCTGCAGAAAAGAAGTTCCAAATGCATAAAAAAATATTGTTAGACTAAAGATAATGGGTATAAAACCAAGATTGGGAAAAAATAGATAGCTCACTGTATAAAGGAAAATTTTAAGAAAAGTTTGAGTGTACATGGAAAACCATTACCAGCAACAGTCTCAAGTTCTTTGCCTGGAATGCTCGGAAAGCCGTCAAAAAGTGCTTCAACTCTTTCGTCAATGCGAAGCCCTTCTTGAGAGTCTGAGGCATTACTTGTTTCTGCAGAAACAGCCAACACCTCTTCACCTACCTGAGTACTAGTTGAGGCCAACTCACCAACATCTACTAACAAATTTCCAGGAGCTTCAGGGGGACTAACCAGCTCAGTAACAGAGTCAAGAAAGCTGGAAGGAAAGTTAGCAGTCACTACTGGTGAAACTGCATTTTCAACAGTTACCCATCTTTGGCTGTCCAGGTGTTTGACCAAGTGGTCTGACACAAGAAAACCTTCTTCCACAAGTATCTTTAGGTCACATAGCCTAGATGGTCCCTGTTCCACACCAAGATGATCTAGGTAGAACCATTTTCCTGTGGTTGAAACTGCTGTCTCAGCCTCAGGAACATGTGGTGGGGTGTCACATATATCCATGTCTTCTTCCATAGAAAGCAGTTCCTCGGCAGCTCCATTGACCTCCTGGGCTTGCTTCAAGTCTTCCTTGTGGAATGTTGAGCGAGTATTTTTCTCAGCAGAACCATCACAAGCATCCAGAGTGGTCCTTATTTCAGACTCTTTTGCCAAGACCTGTACCTCCCTTCCAATAGGCTCCCTAGAATTCACTTTCTCTTCTTGGCTTCTAATCTCATAATGACTCTTCCTTTTTTCACTTGAGCCTGTCTTTCGATTAATCTCTCGATAATTACTGGCCCTACCACGATTATGTGGGGAAGCTTCCGTTAAATTTGGAGTTCGTTCCCTACGATCATGACCACGTGTTTGCTCACGTGGGGATCGTTCCGAATAACTTGGGCTCCGATTTCTGTGATCATAATGACGATTTCGACCATATGGGGACCTATCACGGCGGGCTGGACTCCGGTGATCATGCTGACGGACCCGGTCACGTGGGGACCGCTCAGGATGACGTGGACTATTATTATGTCTGTCGTATGCTGGCCTAGAAAGTGGAGATTCACAATTCCTAGAAGAATACCTGTCTGATGGAACATTTCGAGTAGACAAAGAATTTTTGTAAGAGTGATCTGGATTGTACGCGGACCGGCTGCCATCATCAGAAATTCTCCTGCTTTTATAGGGTGCGTAATCATTAAATTCACCATGATGTTTCCTGTCACTGCTATCGCCGTGAACAGTGTGCCGCTTCAAACGGTTCCCTAAAGGGAAGTCTCTTGCATGGCTTTTACCGTTGCTAAAGTCATCCTTTAGCAGCCCTTCCTCGTCTACTATTTTTGAGCTGATCCTTGGGGTCCTCTCTCTGTTATTATTTTCCCACCTTGCAGACTTTTTGGTATACTGGCTTCCATTTCTGTTGCACTCTTTTTCGCCTGAATACTTGCCAGAAGATGGTGTCCTGCTGCGCTCCGACTTCCACCCTTTGTCCTTGGCAGAATCATGGCGTCGCATTTTCAAGTAGCTATTGTCATCTCTCTGCCATCGGTCTGGGATGAATTCACCTTTCTCCACTTCATCTTTAGCTCCTTTCGACAGCCCTGGATCAGAATTCTCAAACTCCCTCCTCCTATTCGAGTAATCCCCACTTTGCGACCCTCCTTTTCGCCACTTACCTGGAACAAACTCGCCCTTCTCCACCTCCCCTTTTCTCCACCTATCCGCAACAAACTCTCCCTTTTCAATTTCACTCTTGATTTCAAACCTTCTAGGTTTTTCAGGGACAAACTCCCCATTCTCCCATTCTCCCAATTCACCCTCTTCAACTTCTTCTTTATGCCCGTTTCCAACAACTTTATCTTCTCTCTCTTCTACTGACAACTCTTCACTATTATCATCACACAGCTCTCCAGTTTTTAAAGGAAACTTGTCACGTCTCGCCAGCTTCATATTTACCTTGTCTTCTGTAACCTTGATATTAAACTTACCACCGTCATTACCGCCGCAAAATGTCTCGGGAATAGAGAATCGCAGCGAAGGCACACATGCAACACCTCCATCGCCCATGGAAATACTCGCTCGCAATGCCGAAAAAGCAAAACCCTAGCTTTTCTCCCCTTCACCGGGGCTCTCGATGCTCATGCTTCAACCAAAAATCTTGGCAAAATCTTCACGCAAAAACCCCTGATTCCAGTCAATCGAGAAACAAAAAATCAAATCCATATCAGCAACCAATCCAACACAATGTAGGGTTTCAAGATAATAAAAATAAATACATATGCATGAACACACACAATCACCCAATTCAAAAGAAAATCAACCCCGGATTCACCTAAATCAGTAAGACTCACTCGAAATTGAAAACCCTAGAATCCAAAACCAAAACTTACAAAGAGAAATTCACCCAACTGAAACGCTGGATCGGACCGTAACGAATCTTCAAGAGCTTTTTCCAATGAATCAAACACTTTAGATTGAACAGATCGATAAGCAAACCCACAAATGAATAGCTCAAAGACGAATCTGTGCCTGCAAATCTTTGTTTCTGTGTACGAAAAACCGATTTGAGAGTTGCGGTGTGGGAGACGAACACAAAAATAACTTGTTTTCTATTTTTCTTGAATGAATTTTTCTTCGTTTTTCCTCTCTTTACCCCCCTTTTATTCATCCACCCACACACCCGTTACCGTATCCGTATGTATTACATCGAGGGTAAATTCGTCTTTTCATCCTCGGGCAGACTTCTTGTGATTTTGTACCCTTTGTTTTATCCCATAATTACTTATTGAAAAAAATTACAACTTATTAAATTTTTAATATAATGTAATAATTATTAATATATATTACATACCAAAAATATATATTTTTTTATAATAATTAATTATATAGTATTTGGTAAAATTTTATTTCGGTTTATTTTTAAGTCAACGATTCGTATTTGATATTTAAATTTTGAAAATAAACATAAATGCGGGTATTGATTTTGTATTTTGTGATTTATTATATTGGTAAGGTCGTAACTGCACAGTTATGTATTTTCCTTGATTGTAAGAGCGTAAACAGATATGGCAAAGATAAAATCGTTGACGAAAACATGTTTTCAAATTTATAACGGTCCTTATACAGATAAGATTGTGAGATTCTAACGGTTGGAACAGTTTGCGCTCCATAAATAAAATTTGAAATACAGTACTTGCTGGTTTAAGCTTCGAGGGTTTTTTTGGGCTTAGGGAGATTGGATTTACACCGGTAAGGATCTCAAAGAGACCTTGAAGGAAAATAGGTTGTGTTGATGGGCCGGATACGAAGGAAATATGTGTTGATACGTTTCGGTATAAACAATAGTAAGTTGACTGACTCGATAGTTGACTTGAAACCGTTATATGAGAAAAGTAAGGGACCTGCCTTTTAAATAATCTTGCGTCATCGGATCCAATACAGAGTAAAAATTTGAATCAATGATCCAAGTGGAATGTAACATATAAGATTTTTGTTGTGCTTACTGGCCAAAATATGTCAATATGTCAATTGTTCAAGGCTTGAAGTTGCAGAAACATTGTAAGATTGACTTATATCTGATAAAAGAATGATACAAATTAGAGATGCACAATGATCTGGCTTTTTTCGGACATGGGCCCCAACATTCCAAGTCTGTTTTTCATAAAACAATAAATAAAAGTTCGGGCTTTTTAAGATTTGGGCTTTATAAGGTACAAGATCCCACATTGGTTTGGGGATGGGAATGAAAAGTTGCCTTAAAGGGACTTGATAAAGGCGCGGTTTAAAAGTGTGATTCCAGGTGTGTGGACAAAGCAGACAAATATCTTGTACAGTTGACCCGGGATGTTATAGATGGTATTAGAGTTGGGAATCGGACTTGTATGCCAGCGAGGATGTTAGGCTCCCAAGGGGGGTGGACTGTAAGATCCTGCACTGGTTGGGAAGGGGAATAAAAGATTGTCTTTATAAGGGATTTGATAACTTCTCTACCAGCTACGTTTTAAGACTGTGAGTCTAGGTATGTGAACAAAACAAAATTTTGGTTGGGATGTTACATAAGGCCCGGACCGAGCTGGGTTTGGGGTCAAAAAGGGCCTGCTCGAGCTTTTCTAGACTGAACATTTTCGGGCTTTGACAGGATTTCCCAGGTGGGGGGTTCTTCCGAGTCAAGCCTAGCCCAAGCATTTTACAGAGATCATACAAACCAATGTTGGAGTTGACAAGCAAAAAGTGAGAAGCGTGAGCCTTGACATATGACAACAGATGTATTGATAGCCATGGCTGCTAGAATATCCATGGTGATGGTCAAGCAAAGGGTTGATAGACAAAACAATGAAATAACGGCAATGGCAAATGATGAAAAATGTATTTCAAATAAATAAGCCATAGATGTCATAACTCTAACAAAGTCACAAGATGAAAGGATGGGAAAAAGACTGGCCTCGAGTCATTTCCAGTCATTTGGGTTGTGAGGCACTGGTTTAGGCTCATGGGATGTCGTGATAATCTCATTTTCACTGGAAACTCTAACAAATAAATCCATAACATAACTCAATAGTCAATTAACATTAGCACTAACATGATAACATCAATACATAACTCAATAGCAACATCAAAATTTCAAAACAATAACATAAAAGCTCATTACAGATTTACACTAACATATAATTTACAATAGGTAGGAAGAAATCAAAAACAGTAACATTAAAAGTTCAAAACAATAACATAGTTAGGGAAAAATCGAAAACAGTAACATAGGTTGGAAGAAATAAAAAATGGTAATCTGTTGAGCCAAAATCGAAACTTGAACTTGTGTTATCAACTAGGTAGGAAGAAACCAAAACCTGTGGAAAATTTCGAACATGTTAGTCAAAATTGAAACTTGTGGAAGAGAGAATGATACTGTTGTTGGTCAAAATCGAAACATGTGGAAGCTTTGAAGTTGTGAATCAATACCTTTGAGGCTGTGAATTGGTAGTTGTGAATCGAAACCTTTGAAGCTGTAAATCAATACCTTTGAATTGAGGTCGTGAATCGAAACCTTTGAGGGTTGAGGTTGTGAAGCAAAACCCTTGTGAATGAAAGCTTTGTGAATCGAAACCTTTGAATTGAGGTTGTGAATGGAAGCCTTTGTGACGCGAAACCTTTGAGGTTGTGCATCGAAGCCTTTATGAATCGAAAGCTTTGTGCGACTACATTGCTTGGTTGCTAAGTGAGACTGAAACAGGACTATAGGAGTATTGGGCACACACGGGTTATCGGGTTAGGTCGGGTTCTATTAGGCCGGATTCAATTCCATCCCAATAGAGTCGACTAGCTAATTTTTTGATCAATCCTACGTCATGTTACCTCAGGTTAGGTTTTTTAGAATTTTTTGGGTTGGGTTGATCGGATTTTTGAGCACCCCTAGTTTAAATATAGTCGTTCGTTGCCGCCCTTATGTCTGTATAGATTCACATACTATTACTGTCGGACATTCGTGGTTGCACAAGAGATTAATCGATGCATGTAAGTTGACTTGAATAATCACAATTACAAAATAGAATCTTTCCTCTAACCCTAAGGGGTACACATGAAATTTTTATGTAGAACACTGACTTGCAAAACAAAAATTAAAAGAAACAAGAAAACAAGCTAGAAATGAAAGTGTATACTAAGGGGGTGTTTGAGATTGCTTATAAAAATAACTTATTGACTTATTCCAGTGTGATACTGGTAATAAACACTTTTGAGTGTTTGGATAAACAACTTATACCGGTGCTAAACCGGTAATAAGGAGTTTTTGAAGAAGTTAAATCATTCTGACTTATAATAAGTTGATAAGTGATTTTGTAAAAAAACATAAGTTGTTTCAAATAAACAATCTCAAACACCCTCTAACAAGCATCAAATACACTACACTATAAACATAGCATAGATGAATGCAAGGACATAAGTTAAAAGAAAAATAGAATCACAAAGCAAGAATACTGATAATGATAACAATCAGTACAATCGGTAAAATTAAAACAAATATACAGTAAAAAAAGTCAAATAAGTAGACTAATCACAACAAATAAGCAAATGTCAGGGATGATTATGTAATTTTACATTATTTCAATTATAAGTTTTTTTATAACAACATTTTATCTGATCATATTATTTTCATCATAAATAAACGAAAAATCATAATTATAATTCGTTTACTCAACGACTTAAATAATTTGTTCTAACACACATCCCTGATATATATGATCCATGCCCCTTTGAAATTTTATGGGTATTTTTGGAATTTAAAGTATGGTCCGTACCCTTTTTTAATAAGTAAAGAGTTAATTTTTAACAATTTTTAAACAAAAATGGCTTGTGAAATTACGTTATTGTCCCTCATTGGGACCATAAATCTAGGCCAAAAACACCATTGGGCGGGTCATTTTGGCGCTCTAACTTCACACCTAAATATTGCAACATGGAGGGAAAGAACCAAACCGAACCAACCCTTGCAATAAAGAAAACACAAAGTCAAAAGGTGAAAGGGCATTGTGGGAATTCGGTTCAATTTCTGGTTTTGACTTTTGGGTTATTTTACAACTGGAATTTTGTAACATAGAAAATTAAATGATAACGGTTTTAGACAGTTTAATCAACAATTATTCAAATTAGAGTTGTTCATGGACGGGACGATCCGTTAAATCCGATCCATCCAACCCGTTAAAAATACGGGCTTGGACAATCATTATCGAGAAAACGGATGTACCTGGTTTGTTCATTAAAATTAACGGGCGGATATGGGCAAGCCCGGCCCGTTTATAGGACGGGTAATGACAAGTTGTCAAGTCCGAAAAAAATGACTTGGATTTACAATATTAAACGCGTTAGACAAAAAAATAAGTTAGGACCGGCCCATCCAGCCCGTTAAAAATACAGGCTTGGACAACCATTATCGAGAAAATGGATGGACCTGGTTTGTTCATTAAAATTAACGGGTGGATATGGATAGGCATGGGAATAGGCCTCGACCTGTCGAGGAACCCGGCCCACCCGCCCCGGTCGGGGACGGGGATTCCCCGCTAAATCGGGGACGTGGACGGGGATCCACGTTTGCCTCAAACCGGGGATGGGGACAGGGACGGGGGCCGTCCCATACCCGTTATATATATTAATTAATAAATTATATATATATATATATATATATATATATATATATATATATATATATATATATATATATATAAGGGTCCATTCAAGGGATAACTGATTAGTTTGTGATAACTGTGAGATCCAATCTCAACCACAAATCAATAGATAAATTAAGAAACTAATATTTTTGGTAATTTGACTTAAAGTCGTAATTAAAGGGCATTTTATAGGTGTTTTAATTTTTTTTTATCTCTCCTCTCTCTCTCTCTCTCCTACTTCGGGCCTCCGACGAACACCATGTGATACTCAAAATACACCAAGATACATAATGTGATACCCGAAATACATACAATGTGATACCCAAAACACACCACGTAAATTTTGAGACAATTGTGATACCAACTGTGGTACCACTGTGATACCAATTGTAGTACCGCTGTGATACCAACAAGATGACCAGAGGAGGTCACCAGAGTGGTGGTGGGTGCCGGGGAAGGCCACCGGA